TAGATTTTCTTCGCTCTCTATTTGACCTTAGGATGTTGGGAACGTCATAGTTCATACTTTATTAATTAATCTTTTCTTAAATATTCTAAATTACATGCATTAACATTAGAAATAAAAATGTGTACGAATGTTCCGACTACACTATGTACATACACATTCTCCTAAGCTGCAAAAAAATCGCGAAGATATCGTCGTATACCTTTTTCTGACGAAAAACCACAGAAGAGCATAAGCACAGCTACAAAAATATTGATCGACAGATAGATCAATATATTGCTTGCTTAAGTTTTGAAAGAGGCTCTACCCAGTGAACATTGGTTCAAGAACAGTAAACTAAAGAAACGAGATTTTATTAAGGGACTCAGGTAGATTGATTGCACCGAAATGAGCAGTAATGATGAAGAAAGCGGAGATGATGAGGATGTGACGACAACAGACACCGAAGAGGTCGTAACGCCCGCGTCGCGACGTTTTTCGGCGAGAGACAATACTTTGAGGGTACTGTATATGTTGGTTAACGCCTGGTTCCATCCTCGAAGAAGACTCCTCCATCGATTGCACAGTATTTGGGACAAATACCCTTCTCGCCAGCAGTTCCAGCAGGTCCTGGTGGTCCGGGAGGTCCAGCTTGTCCGTCCATTCCAGGAGGTCCATCGGGTCCGGGTGCTCCTTTTGGTCCAGGTGGTCCAGGTTGTCCATCGCTTCCGGGAGCTCCAGGTGGTCCGGGGGGTCCGGGTGGTCCTGAACAGAAGATTTCTTGCTCAAATCATTAATTATAAACAACAAAAATTTTCTTTACATACCTGGGTCTCCGGGCTCGCCAGGTGCACCGGGTGTGAGTGGCTCGCTTTGTGCAGGTGATCCAGGGTCTCCTTGAGGTCCAGGCTGTCCAGGCTCTCCAGCAGGTCCAGGAGGTCCACGAGGTCCGGGCTGTCCATTAGGTGCATCATTTCCAGGGCGTCCGGGGGTTCCAGCCTCTCCTGGATCTCCAGGTGGTCCTGGTGGTCCTGGTGGGCCGGGTGGTCCCTG